TTTAGTCTTTGCAACTTTACAGATCTTCTTTATGCACCAAGAGCTTGTAACACTCCAAAGAGAAAGGAAAAATTGAAATCGCATCATATGACCCCTTTAATGGTGGAATTCTGAATGTCATCTATAGGAGTGATAAAACAGCTAGAATAGAATGATATAGAATGATGGAATTGTGACTGTCACATTAGCAACAGTGCAGACAGATGTGTTTTACATTCATGACAAATGAACACTTTTGATCCAATGAATGCAAAAAGCACTGACATTATATATATATATATATATATATCTCGTAAATGTACTAATGTGCAACTTGATTCAGGAACACACACATTTCTGCAATGCAGTAGTTTTGTATTTCCTCGCTGTATGGTTATGAATGTCTTGTGTCTTCCTAAGGCTAGATTCCCCTTATGAATTCTTCAATGACATTTTACACAATGTCTCGTTCTGGCCCAGGATGAAGTGCAATCTGAAGAGTTCAAGAGACCTCTAAAGATCTAATCACCTATAAAAAAGTGCTTCACTAAGATTAGTTGCAGACAATAAGAAAGAACAAAAGCATCACATTTCCATGAAAAGGTACTTATGTTTCTTTCTATTGTATCTCCCATTGGAAATTAATCACAAATCTAATCTTAACGATTTCACCTAGAAGGCAATGAAATAGATCAAAAATAATGGAGATCAATGGAGACCGTTTCTCAGGTTTTACTCCTAAGAAAAAGTCCACATAATCTTGTGTGTCTCCTTTAGGGTTTCAGAGGAGATCTCAACAAAATCACAAACTGTGCTCAGTTTAACTTAAAAACTGCTCAAGTGTCAAAGATTTCAGTATAAACAATTATTTCTCAACAAATTCTACCAAGACTAAATTATCTAAGCTATACTACTCTAAACTGAAATCTGTATTATTTCGACTTTGTCAACAGTTGTCTCATTGTGTGTCTATTGTCTAAAGAGTCTTTGTTTTCTGTTGAAGAAATATATTTCTACCAATAAATGCTGAGCTTAATGTAAATGTGAATAACTAGACTGAAATTCTTCCTGCAGTCCGTTTTTTTTTTTTCAAAAACATGATTAAACATTTAATAAGGTCCTCAGAAAAGGTTTTAAATTTTACATTAACTCTGAGAGCTACCTTTATGACCTGCACTATAATTAACACTTCTCTCTTAAGATATGATTCTTTAAATCATTCGCAGCAGTAAAAAGAGAATCCATCTCTCTCTGAACCAGGATATGATGATTTAAGAACGAAGAGGGTTATATATAGTCCTGTTTATAAAGAGGAAAGAGGAAAGTGAAACGTGTAGCAATGGGAAATCCATACAAAGGTCTGCTTTCAGCGTCAATATTAAAGGTCAGAGTCTGATGGAGAAAAATAACAAAGGTGAAAACCTGACAGAAAGCAGTTTGAGTGTGGACAGAGTGATCTGACTCGGTGTGAACTGAACGTGGCACACAGGGTGATGTCAGAGTGATATAGATTACTCCGGTGTGAAAGGTCAGCCACGTCTTTGGATAGTCACAGATAATAGACTGTTTACACTCTCGCTTTCTTTATTACTCTGCCTCTTTTTTATTTTTAGGCTTTTGCCACATTTATTTTAAACCCTACACTCTCGGAAAAAAGGTACAAAAGCTGTCACTGGAGTGGTACCTTTGAATAAGGTACACCTTTGTACCTTTGAATAAGGTACACCTTTGTACCTTATTTACCCCTAAAGCGTACATATTAGTACCTAAATGATACATTTTGTACCTTTTTCTGAGAGTGTACACTCTTAAAAATAAAGGTGCTTAACAGGTTCTTCACAGCGATGCCATAGAAGAACCGTTTTTGGTTCCACAAATAACCATTCAGTCAAAGGTTCTTTAAAGAACCATCTCTTTCTTACCTTTTTATAATCTGAAGAACCTTCTTTTGCCACAAAGAACCTTTTGTGAAACAGAAAGGTTCTTCAGATGTTAAAGGTTCTTTATGGAACCATTTAGACAAAAAGGTTCTTCTATGGCATCGTGAAGCACCTTTATTTTTAAGAGTGTAGAGACAAGGAAAAATATAACTGACTGTACAAATATATATAATTTTAATGACAATTTCTTTCTTGTTTTCTGGTAAATATACTGTATCTAAACAGTAAACAATCTTAAGATACAGTATGTGACGACTTATGTCTTATGTGAGGTTTTCCTCTGGCTGAGTTGGATTGTTTTCTGAGGACACCTGTTGTTGACTTCCGTTTGGGCTTTTTAAAAGAAGCAAGATGACTGGCTACAAGAGAGCTGCACATTGGACTTGATTTAGTTTGGTTTCCTTTAAGTTTGTTTCTTTTGTACATCCAACATTGCTACACTACATTACACCTCCATGCATTCATTTAACTTGACACCACTGATTCCTGACTGTTACATTCTACATTGTTCTTCTTTTTGTTATAGTTTGATTTTGTTAATAAATTTTGCATTCTACTTTTGGCTTTCTCGTGTGTCCCTGTTTTTGCTGCATCCCTTTTGAGCCACGGGCCGTAACACAGTACTATTCACAATTTTCATTTCTGAAAGAAATTATTATTCATCAGGGATGCATTAACTTGATCACAAGTGACAAGACATTTATAATGTTATAAAAGATTTTTTCTGCCGTTATTTTGAAATTTCTATTCATCAAAAAATCCTGAAAAAATCTATCACAGTTTTCACAAAAACATTAAGCAGCACAACATGTTTCTTGAGCAGCAAATAAGCATATTAGAATGACTTCTGGAGGATCATGTGACACTGAAGACTGGAGTAAGATACAAAAACTGTATTTAAAAAAATCCTAATACAAAAACTGTAAAACAGTAATTGTACTAGCCACCGAGACCACAACACCAGAGTCAAGTCTAGAGCTGGAGTCTTTGTCGTTCACTCACTCAATCTCTTAAACAGCCTGACTGACAAAGTGAGAGATACTGGGTGATATCAGTCTCCAGCAGGATGGGACACACTAGTATCTTTAGGCGTGGGACAGGAACCATGGCAGGAACTTATCAATATTGGATAAGGGTTGAGAGAGCTGAACATTCAAAACATTAAGCAAGGTTATCAGATTAACTACCTGCTGTTGTAGTCACACATTACAGCTGATAAAGCAGATGAGTCTGATTTTAAGTTGATTATTGAACCTTATCCTTGAACCAACAGAGAACCAAAAAGAGAGCCCATCATTACTCACTCAACACAAAAGACAGGTTGCAAACCACAGTTTTCTTGGTAACACTTTAGATTAGGGAACACTATTCACTATTAACTAGTTGCAAACTAGCATGCATATTACTAGCATATTGGCTGTTTATTGGTACTTACAGAACACATATTAATGCCTTATTCTGCATAACCATATTCATGAGCCCTTAACCTCACCTAATATACCTAAACACAACTACAACAACAACTACCTTACTTACTATTAATAAGTATTAATAAGCAGTAATTAGGAATTTATTAAGGGAAAACTCTTAACTAATTACAAATATGCATTCCCTAATCTAAAGTGTTGCTGTTTTTTTTTCTTTAAACAAATACTGCCTAATAGATAGTATGAAGATAAAATGAATGAAGATACGTCCAAGGAACAATAACATCTAATGATCTACAACGAATTTAAGAAAGCTTTAGAAACAACCAGGTAAATATTTAATAATTACGTTTGCTTCTCTGTAAAAATATATTATTATTATTGTTCTTATTATTATTATTATATAATTATATTAATAATTATATTATTTAATATTATTTAATTTAATATAAATAGACATTCACACTAGCATTCAAACGTTTGGGTCAGTAAGAAGTCTCTGTTATTGTCACAAGGCTGCATTTATTTGATCAAAAATGCAGTAAAAACAGTAATACTGTGAAAAAATTACAACTTAAAACAGCTATTTTCTATTTTGATATCTTTTAAAATGTCATTTATTCCTGTGATAGTAAGGCTAAATTTTCAGCAGCCAGTTTTCAGTGTCACATGATCTTTCATAAATCATTCCAAGGACAGCATTTATTTTAAACAGATTTTTTTGTAACAATCTAAAAGTCTTCACTGTTGTTTTTTTCACAATTTAGTGCATTATTGCTGAATAAAAGTATTCATCTCTTTTTTTTTTAAATCTTACAAACGTTTCAACATGGTGTAATTAATATTATTTATTTTAATATTCAAGGACATTTATTAATACATATTTGCTTCTTTTAACCACAGTTTTTTGTACATCACTAGTTTTAAAAATCGATCAGATGGAGGTATCTTAATAGGCAGGATTTTATTCAAACCTTGGATTCGGACTTGCCTTCCTTCCTCCAGATACTGCCTGTCAGTGCAGCATTTTTCAGGTTTAGGACGCAACCTTTATGCCAGAGATAACAGACACAGAGGGGCAGGAGGTCATATTTCCTAATGCCAGAGATATCAATGGATCAGACCACAGTATATGGTCGAAGGCTCTGAGAAGTTTTCCACAATACTGGCATCCGTGCCAAAGGCCAGCCTTTCATCAGTGCAAACTGAAGAGGACCTGGCAACCCCTGAATGCTGATTACAGTAACTACTACAATAGCCATGTTTGTTGTTCTAGTTTAACATTTAAGTGGCTATTCGGGTCTTGTTTACTGGAGCTCTTTTCCAAAGCTGTTTGACGCCATTACTGTGATAACATCCTGATGGCTTCAGCAAGATTCTGACCTTTACATCCTCTGAGAATGTTTACAAAAATTACATGTTGCGACGCGGCAATTTCAGAAGCATTTAGAAAAGTCTAAATACAGTACATACGCTTACATGAGGGTGATTGTGTGTATTTTCGTCCGTACCCTGCTTTGATGTAGTCCAGGAACGTGTGTTCGGCTTCCACCAAGAATGAAAGCAGTGTCACCTGGGTAATTGAACAACAAAGAACAGATGGTTTACACCAGCATATGAGCACAAACCACATCTGCCATGAAACAATCCATCATGGCATTATGCAAAGACTCTTCTCTCAGCTGTCAGGGTCACACAGTCTTTTTCATTAGTATTGCCATTAGAGAACCAGAATCTTTCCATGTTGGGAGGAAGACAGGTGACGGACTATTCATTTGAGTTTTGATTACAATTTCAAAGCCAATTCAAAGCAGTCAATGCGGAGAGACTTTGTGGATCATCAATCACTGTTATCCACCTGGACCTCCAAAGTTTCCTTCCTCACTGCTCTCCTTATCAGAAACAGAAAGCACTATTCAGTCAGGGGACTTGGATCTCAGATTCTCGACTAATTTATCTGAATAATATCCAGACGTTCAGAGTCCTTGTGCAGTACAGCTAGACAAAATTAATCCATGTAAAAATGCAGTGAATACAATGCAAAAAAACTAATTTCTGTCAGTGTTTTTGTCTAGATTTATGGAAAACAATATCTAAACATCCTTAAAACAGGATAAAATTTCTGAGAAGCAAAATTGCTGTTATTGTAAACTAAAACTGAAATTGACAATAATTCTGAAATAAAACAAAATACATATAATTACTAAAATAAAGATTAAAAATGAAAATATAAATATAAAAGCTAATTTAAAATATTAGTAAAAAATACTATAATAGTATAGAAGTAATACTAAAATAGCACTGTTGTTAAACAGAGAAAAGTATTTTTCTGAAAAAGGAGAACATGCTTTCAGAGAACATCTCTTGAATTATTTTTATTGTTTATGTTTTCCAAATATATTTTTTTTCTTGTTTTAGGCATAACCCTCACAAAATTTAGTTCAGTTTTCTTCAAGCAAGAAAAAGTATTTGACAGTGTCATAAGAAATGTAAACTTAATTTAAAATATATTGAAAATAAATCTTATTATCTTATGCAGTATTACATTTAAGGTACATTTAGCATGTGTAAATGTTTGTACTGGAAAACAAGACAAAAAGTACTGATTTGTGCAGAATTTTAGGATAGCAAATTCACTACTCACTGTGCCAGAGTTGATGTATCTTCTCTTTTTAAGTTTCTTTTTAGGATTCACCACCTGAAAAAGAAAATATAGAAATGACACATCATTTACAGGAAGAGTGGGAGTGTGTGTGAGAGACAGAATGAGAGAAAATGGTTCTCATTAGACCCGTTACTTGTCCAAAAGAAGAGAATTTGAGAGCACTGCTACTGGATCATTTCCAGTCTGCTAGTCATTTTTGTTCCACTTACTTTCAAAGACACAACTGATCTAAGTGTTCAGATGCTTTGAGAAATCCAGTTCAGGTCGGTTACATACACAACCTTGGCTAACAGTTTGGAAACCAGGACACAGATGATGTGATTTGTATGGATTGGGGTTTAACTGAACCGACACCGCAGCTTCTAGTGTTGTTTGTCCAACTCAATCCCCAGGAAACCCCAGATCCTTTCAGCACACAACTGAGACTGTCACGCTCCTGTAGAACATCTCACCACCCCCTCACCCCACCACTGGGCTAATGCTAGGGTGAATACACACACACACACACACACACACACACATGGCACATTTATACACACTCCTCACCCCCACATAGCTGTCTGTTACTCTCTCTCCTTCTTTCTCACATAAACACACGCTTTGTACCCTGTCATCCGTTGTCTCATTGCCCTTACTTTTTTTCTTGCTCTCTTCCATAAACACTGAAAAACAATCTCTCACACTCATTTGCTGCTGCTGTACTTGCTGGCAGACAAAGTGTGATAATCACAGAGAGCGAATAAAGGAGACTTGAAATGGTGCAATTTTCATTGCTTGCTGGATCTCTCATGGAATAGACATTAAGAAAATCCAACTTCATGCAAATGAAAGCTCAAGTTAGACAAAATATTCCTACATTTTGTTCATTATTAACTAAAACCAGCTCCAACATGGCTGGTCCAGGTTGTCGGTTTGGTCGGCACAGCATTAAAACTGTATTATTACAATATTATTACTATTTAAATAACAACAACATTAAAACAAAATTATTAATAATAATAATAATAATAATAATAGTTGTTGTTGTTGCTGTTCAGACATATAAATATATACTTTTTTAAATAATGTATGCATTTTATAATTATAATATTTTGAACAACCACTTATTGAACAACCACTCTAAGTGCACTAAGTGCAGTCTCCCCTATATTAGTCAAAACTGACTCACTGACTTAATTTATTTTTCTGACATCATAAATTCATGAATCTAGAATCACTCCTTTATCCGAATACAAGAGATCCTCTGATGATCAATGAATCAGTATCTGCTTCAGTGAACTCACCTCGTACACGTTGAACTGACTCTGGCCGCGAGAGAGCTCTCTGTAGCTGGTGGTGAACTCCCCGATAAAATCATGACTGAAGCACAAAGAACGACAAAGAGACTCTTACTGTTTGTGATGATGAAGATAAATGGATTTGAACTTCTATATGAAATCTGGAGTGATCAGTATTTGTTACTGCCAGGTATTTTAGAGCAGAGCTGACTGCAGGAAGCTAGAGGGAAATTTTGTCGCTACGTTATGAAGGAAAAATTATGATTTGAAAAAATAAAGTGCTTTTCTGTAGGGTGTACCAAATGTATACTATACTGTACATAGGAGAATATATTACATAAATGTGCAATGTGCAAAACAAGCAAATGTGTGTGTTTCTCTACCTGCCATCTCTGTCCCAGTCGTACACCTCCACTTTAATTGACCTGAAAGATTTAAAACACAGCATTTAGAAACATGGTTTGCGATATTTCAGACACCGAAAAGAGAGTGGCAGCTGAACTGATGGATGCTTTCCGATTTAAACAGGCCTGAGAGTCTCACTGTGTTTTTCATCTCCATGCTAAAACCAACCAATTACAGGCCATTATCCAGACAGTGCACTCGGAATTAAACAACGGTCGGCAGGGACTGAACTCCCGGGCTGTGGAGCAGCTGTGGAGCATCACCTGACAGGACGCAGGCGAGTTTCATTTAAACATTAATTACATCTGAAGTTTTGAATAATTAGAAACTCATTCTGTTCAAATCAAGTTAACGTGATCAATTACACAGAGACAGCCGAGATTTGTAGCCTCGTTAATAAAAATGGCTTTCGAGGGTAGGCTAATAGCTCTAAATGGCATTTGGCGCCGAAGCATGTCACACACTTGCAGTGGTGTAATGTAACGAAGAAATAATACTTCGTTACAGTACCTACTTAAGTATTTTTGGGAGTATCTGTACTTTACTTGAGTTTTTATATTTCAGCTAACTTTTACTTTTACTCCACTACATTTCCTAATTAAAATGTATACTTTTACTCCGATACATTTCCCCGAAGCATATTCGTTACTTACTACAAAACAGTCAGAAGTCAGAAGAACACGGACTGCAGGAAAGCAGGGGCCTGTACCATGAAGCCAGATTAGCTGGCTAGCCAGGTAAGTTTCAGTTTAGTTTGCATCAATCCTGGGTTTTAGGTACCATGAAAGTGGCTTGGCTTTTAGCGGCATTCATTGCCTTAGTAACTAACACTCCACAGCTAACCTGCTCTGGGGTAGGTTATGTTCTGGTTTAGAGATCTCAAACCGAAATTTGACCAATCAGCTTCAAGCAAAGTGACACATGGCTTACGCAATAAAGCCACTCCCCCAGTTTCTCTTACCCCAAATTAAAGGACGCTACATAGTAAAACATTTTTAAAGATAAAATTGTCTGAATTTAGAGATGATTATTTTTTATAATTATTTTATATGATTTATATAATTATTATACCCTTAAACCATTACACAAGCTAGCTTAGTTTAATAGTAATTATTAAGCTTTTATTTTAAATTAATATAAACATATAGATAATATGCAATATATGTTTTAGAATCAATAGCGTTAAACATGACTACATATGAGCTTAGATTTTTAAGTGTTTTTATACCTATAAATCTGATCAACTCTATGAACTAACTTTACAACTTTTACTTGCACTAATAAGGCAAGATGTTTTCTTTAAGTTTTCCTCTTTCATGGAAAACTGTAAATTGTAAATGTGTTTAAATTCTTCATATTGTTCAATATTTTAATCCTTGGTAGTAAATCGCACTGACTCTCTCACGAGAAGTGAATCACAGTTTCAAGGCATCTGATTGGCTGTTCATTACTGATGTCACTCTTTCATCTTTCACTCAGGATCAAGCCTGAGTTGACAGCTAGCTTAGTTTAATAGTAATTATTAAGCTTTTATTTTAAATTAATAAAAACATATGGATAATATGCAATATATGTTTTAGAATCAATAGCGTTAAACATGACTACATATGAGCTTAGATTTTTAAGTGTTTTTATACCTATAAATCTGATCAACTCTATGAACTAACTTTACAACTTTTACTTGCACTAATAAGGCAAGATGTTTTCTTTAAGTTTTCCTCTTTCATGGAAAACTGTAAATTGTAAATGTGTTTAAATTCTTCATATTGTTCAATATTTTAATCC